TACTGCTACATGAGGACCAAGCCTATTACAACATCCACAGCCCAGGGGACACTTCTACCAAAATTGGGAACCTTCACATTGCAGTGAAGGCATCCAAGGAGTGGAAGTAGTGCTTATTGAGCCTCAAATTGGGGACCTTCACATGCAGTGAGGTTCAGGAGTGAAGTGTTATTTGAGTCCTCATGAGGACACTCAGTGTGTGTGTGTGTGTGTGTGTGTGTGTGTGTGTCTTCTTGCCACACATGTGGCATACGTGTGTGTGTGAGACTTCCATGACCTCAGACAGAGCCCACTCATCCTTCCTCTTCATCAGTGTAGGTACAGCTTGTCTTTCTATACGTGTGAGGACCCTCGTCCTGCTCTCTAATCTCCACCAGGACAGAGACGTCCTCACAGAGTTGCTCTCAGAGTAAGACTGTGTCCAGCCTGAGCTGATGTAATCCTGTAGAAACTGTCCTGTGTGGGAGGATCAGAGGTTTTAGTGTTTATTTATTTATTATAACATCTGGATGAAACAGCTGGAGTCATGTTATAAATGTTAGTAATGTCTTTGAAGTAAAACACAGAAACCACAGTCAGCTTTGTACCTGCCCACTGGTTTCATGATCACCATTAAATAATCCTCTGATAACAAAAATTAAAAATATATTTTATTTAAAACGTCTTTGTCTGAGTATGTTAAAGACGTGGCCGTGTAAAAACAAAACACAGCACAGAAGTGTTTCAGGTCATAAACTCATCTACACGCTCTGTGAGAGGCGTCCAGTCAGAGTCCAACCACAGGATGCTCTCAGTCTTTGGCTCCGCCTCCTCATATGCTGTGTTGGTACAGTGACCTAACAGGAGCCATGTTATCGGTCACATGATGTCATGTGAAGGCTCCAACAGCATAAACACGTCTAGAGGCCCAGCTCAGGTGAAGCTAGAAGACCACCTGTCAGAGGCCACGCCCCCAATGATGCAAAAATTAAGCCTTAATCAAATCTAAACAGGTTTGAATTATCACTAGAGACTCTAAACATGTTTATTTTAACATGGGAGTCTATGGGACTGACTCAGTGCTGCTCCTGCTGGACGTCAGAGGAACTGCAGGTGTGAGGTTCAGGTGTTGTCGGTCTGAATGTTCAACAGTAACGTGTTTGTTTAAATAACTGAAGGTTTTATTGTCTTCAGTCCTGAAACAGACGCTGCAGGAGTGACTGACTCTTCTTCTTCTTCTGCAGATTCTCTCCATCAGGTTCTGTCGGAGTTCGCCATCATTCGTCCAATCAGGACAGACTCAGAGGGGCGCTTCCTGTCAGGTTCCATCTCAGCTCGCCAGCTACATCGCAGGAAAAGACACGCCCCCTCATCAGAGGACACACCCACCGACTTTAATGACAGACATATGGACACACCCTTTTCACAACAGGCTCCGCCCAGTCACGGTTGGTGGGGGCAGAGTCACATGACAGAGGAGGTGGAGCTTTTCTATAATGTGACTGCCTTCGGGCAGGAATTGCACCTACACCTGCATCCCAACTCTCGCCTCGTCGCCCCCACCGCCACCATGGAGTGGGAGGAGTCAGGACAGCACCACTCTCAGCCAATAGAAGACACCGGCTGCTTCTACACGGGAACTGTGTCCAACATGGAGGGTACGTCAGTCGCCATCAGCAACTGTGACGGACTGGTATGTATCACATGACCCAATCGTCTTACAGCTGTTTGATCAGAGCAAAGGTTCCCAATCTCCAGGTCGTGGACCAATCCTGGGTCATGTGAACTTAGTCACAGGGTCCCATGTAATCAGTGCCTGAAGAAGAAACTCTAACACGGTTCCTGCACTGTGACTTAAGTGAGCGGTAGTGTCAGAGCTGCGGGAGGGTCCACAGGTCACTGAGCATCCTCAGCTGACCTGCCAACACCATCACCAGGGTGGAGTTAACGGCGTGACCTCCACCCTGACGAGTTCAGAGGAGATGGGACTGTGGACGTCCTCCTCGTGTCTCCGAGGAGCTGAAACAAAGTCAATGATCGGCTCGTTCAGTGATCACATTCACAGATGTTTCTCCTGACACCATCCTTCAGCTCTCTGCCGGTTTGTTGTTTTCGCTAACGTTTAGCTAACGTTTAGCTAATGTTTAGCTAACGTTTAGCTAACGTTTAGCTAATGTTTAGCTAATGTTTAGCTAACGTTTTGCTAACGTTTAGCTATCGCCTGGTCGTTATGCCGTAGAGAATCATCAGCACAGCAGGCTGTAGACATGCAGGTGGTTCTTTCTACAGCTCACTGTAAAGAAACAGATTTATTTAATTATCCCACAGAAACTCACTTCAGCACCAGTAGAAAAGAAATAGAAAAAAATAGAAAAAGTAAATGAGTGAATAGCTTCAGCAGTGTATCAAACAGCTTCTCAGGGGTGTTCTTTCTACAGCTCTTCTGCAGTAAAGGTTTGAACGTGTTTGTGGCGTTCTGTTGTGCGAACAGCGCTCGCCTCACCGTCACCGCTCTCTAAGTCAGACGCTCACGTCCTGTTCATCACGGTCCTCTGATGCTGACGGTGGTGAGCTGAGCGAGGCGTGTCTGCAGTCATGGACTGCTGTTACTCTGTGACTCAGGCTTTCATGAATAAATATCACACGATTGTTAAACAGTGATGAGACTCGTCAGCGTGGCGATGGAGCAGTGCTTCATACACACTAAAGCACACTAAAGCCCGCCCACAGGAACGTCTGCAGGACTTTAATGAGCAAATCAGGCGACCGTCTCAGGTTTCAGTCCAAACATAAACATCTGTCACTAACCTGAGACATCACATGAGCCAAAGCATCAGGCGTTTCCTGGGTGACATCAACCAGTGACTCACCTGAGTCACCTAACAGGCTTCTGTGATCCCACCTGTCAGGTGACTCGAGACATGGACAGGTAAAACACAGACTTTGGTTTCAAAGTGACTGTAAGGAGGAAACACATCAGCCCCAGAGGAATGTGTCCCCGAGTCATGCAGGAGAGTTTTATTTCTTTTGTCCTCTCTGAGACGATTTAAGGATGTAACGACATCATCGTCATCATCGTCGTTGTCCTGAGCGAGGAAGCTGCAGCTGCTGATGGATGCAGATGTTTCCACAGCTGTCGATGTGTGTGGAGCCTCCTGATTTTCCACATATTCCAGCTGAAAGCTTCAGTCTGAGGCAGGAGGAGCGTCTGATCCAAACATCTACAAAAAAGATTTTAAACAATAAAAGTCACGAATGTGGCTCACAAAACTTTCAAAATAAAAGCTTTTAAGTTCAGCAGGGAGTCAGACAGAAACAGAGAGGACGCTGTAAAACGTGGCGTGCTGAGACCTTCGCTTTGTACAGCGTGGGCCGAGCCGCTGAGTGAAGCCAGATGTGGAGGACAGATGTGAGGCGTAGGAGGAGGAATGAGGAAGCTGCAGGGAACAAACTGCAGACTCACCGAGGTGGACACAATAACAGGAACACCTCAGCACTGAAGCTCTGATGGAGTTTACTGCAGGAGCAGTGCATGATGGGAAAAGTCTTACTCAGTTTATGATTTTATATTTCCAGCTCCAGCATGTTTACTGCTTACTCAGAGCACGACTGAGGCTTTAGAGCTGACGCTTCTCACTCAGAGCGACGTCTACAATGAGTCTAGGTTTGTTGTTGAAAAGACATCCACCACGACCACATCTGGACTCTAAATAGGCCGCACACTGAGGTCATAGAGACGACGCTAGACGTCAAAAATAAGACGTCACCTGGCGTTACAAAGACACACCTTCAGTGGACCAAACCTGACGAATAAAAGACGTGACTGTGCAGTGGGACAGACCCACGGAGTCTTTATCTGATGGACACGTTCTTACTTTCACTGATAAACACAGCTGTGAGCTCTGCTCTTCAGTTTTATAATCTGATTCCTCCAGATGTCTGTGAAGGTAGAGGATCATCAGGGGTCCTTTTGTCCCCCTTTGAGGGGGGGGGGACTCCCACAGGGCTTAAATCTGGGACTCTCCACCATTTGACCAAGAAGCTTCTCGGATGAGAGGTGAAACGTCTTCAAGCAACTTAAAGAAGTCCAGACGCTTTTCTTTGCAAGCTCCTTTGAGTCCTCCAGTTGTTCCTTCCTTGTTGGCTCACCTGTTTCATTCCAGGTGTTTAATTGGTTTTACTGGTATCACCTGTTCCTCTTCAGGTGTTTCCTTTGGGCAAGGCAGTAATCTGACCCTCACTGTTCACTGCATCGGTCTCTGGAACAATGATACTGTAAAAATGCTGAAGTATTGCTGACTGATGCTGTAATAATAATCGTTCAGACTGATTAATGCTGGCTCAGATTAACGCTCTTGTGTCTCCCAGGCAGGGATGATCCGCACCGGCGAGGAGGAGTTTTTCATCGAGCCGCTGGATCGATGGAGGCTGGGAGGAGGAGGAGAGGAAGAGGAGGTGGAGGAGGAGGGACGGCGGCACATCATTTATCGCTCCTCGGCCGTGAAGAAGAACTCAGCTGTCAATCACACAGCTGATGACTTCGTCCAAGGTGAGACTCAGACTGAAACGCTGCATTTCAGATTAGCTGACGCTTACAAGCGTTCCTCGCTTCATGCTCGCTCCTCTTCTGTAGAGCGAGCTCGATGCTGACGCACACTGCTGTCGTTCTGTGGCAAAAACAAAACAGATAAAAACAGAGTCCCACAGAGAAGCAGGCAAACACTCAGGTCTGTTTCCATGCCACGCCCCCGTGTGATTAACACACAAACAGCCTGTTATGTGTTTGATGTTTGAAGTGACGTAAACTGAAGTCTGTTAAACCAAAAGTGTCATGATCCTGGGTTTTATAGTCAGTGTTTTCTGTTTGATGTTGTAGTTGTCAGGTTGGATCTTTGTCTGCATATGTTTTGATCTTGTTCGTCTTTCCTGGCCTCTGGTCTCTCCCATGTCTGGTTTCTGTGTTATCTCTTGTGTGTAGTCAGCTTTGTCTCTATTGTTACTTTGGCCTCTCAAGTACATGTGTATCGGTGTGTTTGTCACTTCCTGTTTTATTTTGACAGTCACTTGTCCTGTGTGCATCATGTTCAATTAGATCAGACCTTCCCAAAGTGTGGAGCCCGCCCCCTCGGGGGGGCACAGAGCCATGGCAGGGGGGGGGGGGGGGGGCGGTATGAGAAGGCAAAAAAAGAAAAAGCAAGGCTTGGACACTGCTAGCACGGCGCCTCCACAAACGCAAAGCAGGAGATGAAGCATCGCTGAATATGTTTCCAAACCAACTTCATTCTAAGCCAAAGACTAGAAAATATGGTGAAGCAAATCTTCCCTTTGGCTTCACCTGCACAGGTGCTGAGGTAGGTCTCCCTGCAGGATTGGTTTTCCCTGCGTCGGGAGCAGCGCTGGGCTCTTCAAATCACGGACAAACAGGATCCCACATTCTTGATTTTTAGTTCACAAACACTTGTTGTAATGACTAACTGCTCCTGACATGTTGGAGATGTTTGCTCTTTATACAGTAAAGTTACAGCAGGATACAAATAACATCAGGCTGATCCTGACACGATTTGTTCCCCCGGTTCAAATCACAGACTAACAGGATCCCACAGCTGTTTATGTTTTTAAACCCATTTTGCACAGAAAGGCGTTTTTTGAAAAGTGTATTGATATCAATGTTGAATATTATTACACAGGAAAAAACAACTACACATAAAATAATCACACCGTGATGCCTCTGCCTTTGTAAGTGGAGGGACAGTAACTGCGTGTAAAACCTGCAGATAGACACAAAATAGAAAACAAAATAAGATAGAGACAGAATCTGCAATTCATCTCATGTAAACAATAACGTAACGCACAGCGTGACGTGAAAAAAGGCACATATCTTTTGCGTGACGCAAAAAAGGTAAACATTTTTCTTGTAAAACAAAGGGGGGGCTAGCAAAAAAGTCTGGGAACCACTGAGTTAGATGATGTCGGGCTGTGTTCCCGGGGTTTCCTCTCTGCTCTCTCAGGTTGGGTTTCTTGTGTCTTTCTTGGTTTTTGTAATCAGGAATTCAGTAATGGAGCTTCATTTGAGTTTAGTTTTACCTGAGAGTGAGTGAGACACATGACGCTCCCGAGCTTGTTCTGACAATGTGAGCACGAAGTGGTCAGAAAAACAGCTACTCAAGTAAAGATAGTGGTTGTTGATCAATGGTCGTTGATCAGTGGTCGTTGATCAGTGGTCGTTGATCAGTGGTCGTTGATCAGTGGTTTTTGATCAATGGTTGTTGATCAGTGGTTGTTGATCAATGGTTGTTGATCAGTGGTTGTTGATCAGTGGTCGTTGATCAATGGTTGTTGATCAATGGTTGTTGATCAGTGGTCGTTGATCAGTGGTTGTTGATCAGTGGTCGTTGATCAGTGGTCGTTGATCAGTGGTTTTTGATCAATGGTTGTTGATCAGTGGTTGTTTATCAATGGTTGTTGATCAGTGGTTGTTGATCAGTGGTCGTTGATCAATGGTTGTTGATCAATGGTTGTTGATCAATGGTCGTTGATCAGTGGTTGTTGAACAGTGGTTGTTGATCAATTGTTGTTGATCAGTGGTTGTTGAACAGTGGTTGTTGATCAGTGGTTGTTGATCAGTGGTTGTTGATTGATGGTCGTTGATCAGTGGTCGTTGATCAATTGTTGTTGATCAATGGTCGTTGATCAGTGGTTGTTGATCAATTGTTGTTGATCAATGGTCGTTGATCAGTGGTTGTTGATCAATTGTTGTTGATCA